GGCAAGGGGGGAGGAGTGCTGTGTCGGGTGCAAGATGGATTGAGGAAGGCTGGAGTGAAGAGCCTGAGAGAAGCCCCAGGGAGGGGAGCCTACCTACAGGCAGGTCACTGGAGAAAATAATCTACACTGCCTCAATGTCTCCTGGAGAGGACAGCCTGTACAGCAGGGAAGGAGCCAGTCCAGTGTAAGTCCGGAAAGCAGCCATGAACCCAAGCTAACAGAAGAGAACAGAGTGAATACTCTTATATCCCTTGGACCAGATAAGGGGAGAGGGCAGTCAGGTGCAATACCCTACTAGCTTCTTATCTGGGACTGTTGAATTGACAGCTCTAGGTCCCCCTTGCTAAATGATGTCCTCAGGCAGCTGGGTGAAGAGGAGGAATCATCCAGATTCTGGGGAGGTACACTTAAGAGCCTTTAGTGCTCTTCAAGAAGAGACTGTTGCTAACCGAATCCTTGCACAGAGTTGTCCTCAAGTCCTACAATTCCTCGGGTGTCTCGTATACCCCTAGACCCCTTCTAAGTTTACCCCCTTAATAAAAACCACAAAACAAAGCTCAAGGACAGTTCATTGACTCCAAGTGTGCAAAGTGTGAAAATGCATGTAGCCTGGACCTGCAAAGCATTGGGAGACCCAAATCCAGCAGCCCCTAAGGGGGTAGTGCTACACATGATTTCCATGACCATTGGACAAAAAATAATAATGAATTGGACACCCCTCTATCAAGAATATACTGTAGAAATCCTTACTCTGTTGATGTCTTAGAGCTCTCTGTAATCAAGGCTTTAATTCCCCTAAATTTACCTGTGTTGTCTTTGGAATTCTTTTTGAAAAATGCTAATAAAATAAGATTTAGCAGAAATAGTTTGAAAAACAGGGTCAATTGTTTCTTTTCTCTGTCTGCTGCCAAGCATGAAAATACACATAGTGAAGAGTAGTATGAGGAACCACTTTGTTATCTGTGATGCTTAGTGTTTACAGTATATTGTAGGAACAAAGGTAAACCCTATTGTGAAGAGTAGTATTTTCAAATTCTGTAGAAGATTTTAGTTTATAAATTCTGGAAAGTTGATTTACAGATATGCCATACATCTCATCCTCAAGCTTCAGTAGAACTCCAGGAGTCATTTAGAGTACTTAAAACTTACCTCTGGACAGTAGAAAAGTTATATGCTCTAACGAATGTTATGCTTGATAGAAGAATGGGTGCATAAAATTCTAGAAAAGTCTTTAAGGGTTTTATGTTGAAGTTGGAACCAGACTGGAAAATCTTTTTAAGAAAGCTTTTATATCAGCCTTTAGTGTGGCAACAGTTAAATATCTACTCACAGGTCACAATTTGTAATTTTAAGTGATTTAAAAGATAACGTAAAATCATAAATTGTAATGTCTTGTCTGAAGATTTGATGGTAAAAACATTTATTAGGAGACATGAAAAAGATTTCTTGTTCAGGAACTTCATGTTATACGTGACAGCACTCTGTCCCTGTCTCCCATTTGTTTTGCATTGTCATCCTGTCACACTGAATTCTGATAGGGACTACAAACAGCCATTTCGACACACATTACACAGGCATGCAACCATTGCCATGAAGTCAAGAAGTGGCTGCAAAACAGCAACAGCACTGAGATATATCAAAAGATTTAAAAAAGGTGAAAATATTTTATTTTGAAAAATTATAAATAGTTTATGATGCACAGAACTGTAGCAAACTAGATGTTTTCACTAAGGGTTTACATCTACTTTAATATGCTGTGCCTTACAGTTTGGATCACAGTACAGCTTGGCATTATTTTAAGATGTGCATTACTGCAACTATTCCTCAATTTAACAAAATCAAGACCCTGTTACTCTCTTTTGTAGCATGTGTCTTTACAAATCTGTGAACATGAAGACACTTTGCTCTGAACTGTGTCAGACCTGTACAATTACACCTTTTTGTAATTTGTATAAATATTTTTAGTAACTAAACATAAAAGACTCTAATATGTCATAAATGTGTAATGAATGTTTGTACTTTGTATCTAACATAATAATATTATGTTTATAATATTATTAACCACAATAATATTATGTTATATTATTATTATTATTATGTTACATATTAACTATTTAAGCCCTGCAAGATTTTATCCCCTTCATGACTTGGCCATATTTTGCTATATGGCACTTCGCTACTTTAACTGACATTTGTGCTTTCATGCAACACTGCACCCAAAGGAAATTTATATCATTTTACCACAAACGGAGCTTTCTTTTGGTGGTATTTGATCACCACTGGGTTTTTACATTTATTATTATATAAATGAAAAAATGTGTAAATTGTGAAAAAAAACTAAACTTTTTTCGTCTTCTGTTATAAAACATAAAACAATCAAATTTTGTCATAAATTCAGGCCAAAATTTATTCTTTTACATATTTTAGGTAAGAACAAAAATCCCAATACGTGTATAATAATTGGCTTGCATCACAGTTATAGCATTTACAAACAATGGGATATATATACTGGAGTTTTTGTGTATTTTTTTTGTACTAGTAGTGGTGGCGATTAGCGCCATCTAGCAGGAATGTGGGCTAGTGCAGTGTGCAATCTTACACTGACTGACACTTTGTGTGCACTGACTACTTGACGCTGACATCACCAGTGACACTAATACAGTTATCAGTGCTAAAAATATACATTGTCACTGTACTAATGACACTGGCTAGGAAGGGGTTAACATCTAGGGGCAATCAAGGGGTAATGGTGTGCCTATCCAGTGTTAATGTGTTTACTGTGTGCTGCTTTGTACTGCAGATCTATTTATTTCCCTGCTTAGCAGGGAAAAGAAACAAAGTGATATCCCACTCTGTGTTCACCAACACAGAGCTCTAGGCTGTTTTACTGACACAGCTGATCAACATGTCCTGACCATGAATCATTGGCCAGGATCTGTTGATGAAACTCCTGCTGTGTCAAATCACACCTGGAAACAGGCAGTGACATACCAGTAGGTCATGGTGCCTGTAACTGCAGCCCCGCCGCAGTAAGATGACTGTGGTGAGTCGGCAAGTAGTTAATATTCATTCTTTCAGCCAGCAGAGAGAGCTCTAGTCTCTTTTCAAATTCTCCGCTATTGCAGCTTTCTGCTGTGTTGAAACAAGCTGGCTGTTTACAGACCTGGAATGAGTGCACTGACTCCTTCCTTATCAGATGGCTCCAGTAGGAGGTTTTGATCATGTAACTAACTTACGGTTCTTTGTCATGTATTGGATGTTCATATTAAAAAATAAAGCAATAGTTTTAAAGTGTGTTTTTAGGATTAAGTGGAGAAGAGTTAAAAGCTGTCAAGTTTTTATTTCTGTCTGTTACCCCATTTGGGAGATTTTTCATCACTTTCTGTTTCTAAGACTTGTGCAAGAAATGGGTGTGTAGTGGTCACTGGGACAGGAAGACATGGACATCCATAATACATAATTTTCATCATTGTGGGCAGCACAGTGGCTAAATGGTTAGCACTTCCACCTGGCAGTACTAGGGTCACTGGTTTGAATCCCAGCCACAGCACCACCTGCCTGGAGTTTGCATGTGATCCCTGTGCCTGGATGGGTTTCCTCCCACACTCCAAAGACATGCTGGTAGGTTAATTAGATCCCATCTAAATTGGTCCTAGTATGTATGAATGTGAGTTAGGGACCTTAGATTGCACACCCCTTGAGGGTTAGGGACTGATGTGAAAGTCAATAATATATATTGTACTTTCACATCAGTCCCTAACCTCAAGGTGTGTGCAATCTAAGGTCCCTAACTCACATTCATACATACTAGGGCCAATTTAGATGGGAAAAGCACTGCATGAATTGACAGTGCACAGCACTGCACTGCATGAATTGACAGTGTTATATAAGTACCTGAAATAATAAATAAATTGTCAATGGCCATCATTGTAATATCACTAAAAGTGAGGGAAACTCTCCATCACAGGAATACCAAGAGCAATAAAACTTGATGGAGGTTCTAACCATTCCATTAAAAGAAATTGAAACATTTTGACTGACATTGCATTTACATGAAAAATAAGAATTGACCTCAAACCATTATAATTTATTTTTCTTTTATAATTTCTTTTTCATCTTTGGGCATTAAAGCATACTTTCATATACTGTTCCCTCCCATATTACCATCATAAATGAATTACTTAATAAACCAAATGATATAATAGACATTGGCAGTTGCTTTAAATATCTCAGTGGAACACAGTTGTAATGGCTTAAATGCCTGTTGTAGCAACTTTGGCTTACCATCTAGTTGGGGGATAATGGTGTAGCCAGGCATGATGCTAAGTGGATGTAATAAAGATTGGAAGGGAGGAGAGGTCACATGTAGAAACTATATGAGTGCCATGGGAAGGATGCTACACAGAATTACGAAGAGTTCTTGCATTGAATAAATTCAGTCCAGCAGCATCCACAGCTATTTTTATTGTTTAATTTAACATTTTATTCATGAGGTATCAGCAGGAGTCTAAGACAGGAATATCTCCTGGTGATAATTGTTTATGCATAAATTATCATCCTAAACACTCAATCATATTTATATGAGCAGTGTAATAAAAAATGCACAAATACATAACATGGTTATTTTTTAACTCTGAAGGGCAAAAAAAAAGTATTTTGAAGAAAAAAAAAAACATTACTATACATACCCCTAAAAAATATATATATATATATACCGTATTTTTCGCTCCATAAGACGCACTTTTTTCCCCCCAAAAAAGGGGGGAAAATGTCAGTGCGTCTTATGGAGCGAATATAAAGCGGCCGGTCCAGTATTTTTGCGGCCACCATGACAGAATACTGGGCCGGCCGCTCTGCTGTTGTCTCCTGCAGGGCCTTACCTGTTCCTCGCTCCAGCGCTGCACAGTCTTCCCGCGCTGGCTTCTGTGACAGCCGGATGACAACTGCACATGTGCTGCACTTTGTGAATGATCCGGTGTCTTCTGGAACACATGAAAGGTCCCAGAAGGCACCGGGCCATTCACAAAGCGCAGCGCTTCTCGCACATGCGCAGTGGGCACCCGGCTGTCACAGAAGCCGGCCCGGGAAGAAGAGGGAAGGCAACTCCGTGGAAGTGGGAGCGGGTACCTGTCAAATTCAGGTACCCGCTCCCCCTCCCTCCCCAAAGGTCAGCAGTCTCTGGTCATTCCCTGCACTGTCTGCAGTCTCTGGTCATTCCCTGCACTGTCTGCAGTCTCTGGTCATCCCCTGCACTGTCTGCAGTCTCTGGTCATCCCCTGCACTGTCTGCAGTCTCTGGTCATTCCCTGCACTGTCCGCAGTCTCTGGTCATTCCCTGCACTGTCCGCAGTCTCTGGTCATTCCCTGCACTGTCCGCAGTCTCTGGTCATTCCCTGCACTGTCCGCAGTCTCTGGTCATTCCCTGCACTGTCCGCAGTCTCTGGTCATTCCCTGCACTGTCCGCAGTCTCTGGTCATCTCCTGCACTGTGTCCGCAGTCTCTGGTGATCCCCTGCACTGTGTCCGCAGTCTCTGGGTCATCCCTGTACTGTGTCCGCAGTCTCTGGTCATCTCCTGTACTATGTCCGCAGTCTCTGGTCATCCCCTGTACTATGTCCGCAGTCTCTGGTCATCCCCTGTACTATGTCCGCAGTCTCTGGTCATCCCCTGTACTATGTCCGCAGTCTCTGGTCATCCCCTGTACTATGTCCACAGTCTCTTGTCATCCCCTGTACTATGTCCGCAGTCTCTTGGTCATCCCCTGTACTATGTCCGCAGTATCTGGTCATCCCCTGTACTATGTCTGCAGTCCATTGGTTCAGAATATTTTTTTTTTTCTTGTTTTTCACCTCTAAAACCTAGGTGCGTCTTATGGTCAGGTGCGTCTTATGGAGCGAAAAATACGGTATATATATATATATATATATATATATATTACATATATGTATGTATATCGTGTGTGTATGTATGTATATATATATATATATATATATATATATATATATTAGCCAGTACAGCAAAAATTAAAGCTTAAGTTTAGTTATAAGCAACATTGGTCCAGCTTGGTCCAATCCCCATGTGATCTGCAAATCACTGTAGTAATCAGTGCTAGAAGCAATGTTCCAGGTCCAATGGTGACTGGACAAGATGGAGGTTAGTCAACCCTAGGACCAGGAGATTCAGTGCTAGTGTGAGATCTCATAGTGGACATCGTTTATTGATTGTATGCTCACCCCCTCTTTCAAGGCCAGCCTGGTGGCATGCTTGCGTAAGGATCTTGTATGGATTTTTGTTTTGGGGAGGCGTTCATTTTTTTTTCCTCTGGGATTTCCCTTGACATCCATACCACACTTCATCAAAGATAAAGGGTTTGGTATATAAGAAGGGAATCTCCAGCTGAAGTAAAGCAGCAAAAGCTTTTTTTTTCCAGGAAATTAGGCTGCAGTTTTAATTTGTAAATGTCAGCTTTTCTGTAGTAGCTCTTATACATCCTACAGATGCGTCACTTCACAGATAGATTAAGGGCATCCCCTTGACATGTTATCGAAATTTCCTAGGCCTATTAGATTTAGAAAATGTCCATTTTTTGTTTTTTAACACTCCTATTGACTTAATTAGGGTTCAGATTCAGCACTCTAACCTTAGTAATGTTCTGTGAACCTGCCTAAACAGAACCCAGGTATGTTTGGCTAATCCCTATTTGCAAGGGACCTCTGCTGACTTCCATGTGCCAGTCATGAGCAATCAGAAATTTTGAACCCAGACGTGCTTAAATCTGAACACTTCCATGTTCATTCAGCACTGGGAACAGCTCTGAAACAGGCTTTGTTTGGCCCCAGGCTCACAGAGGAACTGGGCAGCTGCCGAAAACAGCTGAACAGGGCATCTAGCAAAAAAGCCCCAAAGACAGTATTTTTTTTAAATATGAAGGAGCAGAGGAGCCCTAATATTTTATACAAATAGATAATAAAGTGGAAAAATAGTTAAACAAAATGTATATTTTAAACATTTTTTATAGTCATTATTGCTAATAAAATTAATGTTTATTCATTACTTATTTACACTGAAGCCTGCAGAGCATTGTAATCCCAATCAGCTTTGTCCAGAGGTATGGACTTTATATTGCGGGACTATAGGAGATAAACAATGGACTTGTGCTGGAATGATATATGAATAACTCGTAGTGGCAGATGGGCCTTGTGGTCTTCCCATTAACAGATGAATAATCTGTTAATAGATGGCTAGACACTGCAGGAAGAGCCACATACAGCCACCTTAAATTCAAACAACAGAATGAAAGCAGGTACTCCAAGAAGAAGAAGTACCTCTTGATTCAGGTAAATTGGGGGGTAGTTGAGGGTGGGGGTGGACAATGGTGGACAAAGCCTTTAAAATGGACTTATTATGCAAACATATTTCCATTGTACTGTTAGCCCCCCAAACACATATTGCATGAAAAACCCCTTTAAAAATAAAGTTATTACCAAAACAAATCTCAGAAGTCCCGGTTAAGCCAGGTTAGTATTTCTTTATTTTCTTAACAAAAACTGTATTTGTAATGGTTGTTTTAAGCTATTTATGTTTGAGGGATGCGAGGACTGACAGTAAAGCACACTTTCCACTTTAATGGAAGGTCCACTTTAGTAAAAATATAAAATACTTCTGAAAATACTAATAAAACATTTATGTATTAATTTAAGATGTTCATGTAGTTTGGTGGATATGGTATAACTATCTATATTACACCAATCAAATTTACCATTTAAATGTCTTTGTCTACTGAAGCCTTTTCTTGTCTTCTTTTGAATAAAATGACTTCCTTAGATCTTGTTACTGAGGCAAAGAAGTGCCAGATTCACATAACATCTATAATATGTTGCTGTCATCTGTAGATTCCATTCTGGTATTATTGTCTAGCTCTCTATATTCAGTGTTCCATATATAGTACCTGCTAAGTCAGTTCCTGTTTTTTAAGATGTTACATGCTAGAGGTGCGTAGGTATTCTGTATTATGTATTGTTCTTTCTTCAGCATTTCACCAAAAAATACAGGACAAGACTGCTTACATGGCAGAAGCAATACACCACATTCTTTACTATTTATTTCCTACTCGTTATATATTCTTTGCAAAGCTATTATTTAATTCAATCTATATGTCCATCTGTATTTGTAAGAATATGTAAAGACCACCATTTAATTTCTTTGACATTTTTCCTGTTTGAAATGTTGCCTGCTGGTACATTACTTATTAGTTTTTACCCCACTGTTCCTGGATTTCCTGTCCTTGAGCATGTTGTTGTTCAGTTGCGATCTCGATCAAATGTTAACCCTAAACTAGGGTTAATATCAACTAGGAATTATGGAAGTAATGTATCACATCTTTGTTAGCAGGTCCACTGTTAAATTGTTACTAAACCCAGGACCCTGCATTCACTATATCTGGTCTCCCACAGAACACAGAACATGGAAATGCATTTATCTTAGCAAATAAAAACTGCTAAATACCTTTTCTCATCAACAGTTAGAGCAGTTTTGTGACTTCTATCAGTGTTCAGCAGAGCACTGGTTAAAGCTTTTAGGAGGAGTTTTCTTTCTGTTCTAGAAGGATGTAGAACCCCTGACCTCTGGCTGGACAGTGCTGATTGGCCCTGTGCTGATCACATGCACAAGAAAAAAAGAAAAACCTTTCTAGCAATACATGATATGTCTTATCAGGAGATAAAAGGGGGATACTGGAAGAGGGGGAGGATCATAGAAGTCAAGATCAAATAGCCTTTTTACACAATGCGGAGGATTAACCCCTTAGGTTCCACAGTGAGTATAACAAGCATGCTTTACTGCATATACAGACTGATTTTACTGTTGTGGGTTTAGTGACACTTTAACAGCAAAATACTGGTCTAAAGTAATATGAAATAAATTGAAGAGAACTGCCTGTCATTTGTTACTTTTTAGATTAAGGTGGCAGCATCTCTCTCTATAATTTGCTCAGAATTGCAGTCATTTTAAAGTGTGAAGCACTGTGTGCTAGTGCTTATTTTTTAGATTTAGGTGACAGTATTTTTATCTATAATTTTGTTTTTTGCCAATTTAACAAAATCTTCTAAGCATGGAAAAACTGGTGTCTGTATTTGATTTTTTCATAGCAATTATGTTTTTTATTGTTGACATGTGCCTGCTTTTACAATATGAAAAAACTAATAAATATACATATATATATATATATATATATATATATTTATATATATATATGTATATATATATTTCCCCAGGCCTCGTGCACACAGTTAGGAGTTCTGACCCTGTTGGACGGTGGATCTGCGGTCAATCCATCCCAGTATGCCAGCACATAGGGTTTAAAGTTCTAAAAGTACAGAGTTCATAGAACAATATAACAGAGAAGGAATGACGAAACACATTAGGGCAGGTCTTAGTCAGACATACTAAGATTGGATGGATCATCCAGATTGCTATTTAAATCATATGCTGTGGTCGATAGTGCTTACATGCATGCATGTGTGCAACAAATGTGAGTAGTGGAATCGTTAATGTCACAGTGCGTTGTGAGAGCCATGATTGGCCAAAGAAATGCACCTGACCACAGGTCAGATGCAATACTTTGGCCAATCACAGCACAATTGGGGGGGACGTGACCGCTAGCTCTTTTCATTTGTTTACATCTAACCGGCAGATGTCAGACCTGTCAGATTGCGGGCATTGGGGTTTTTTTTATTTCGGCAGTGCTAGGCGTCGTGATTGACGATGGATTACAACGATGGAACTATTTTTTGGCTTTTTTTATTATTAAAGGATTTGTCAAAAACTGTTGGTTTTTTTTGTTCAATTAAAGGAATTTTTCAAAAGTCTGGCCTATTTTTTTCTAAATGTGGCCCTTTAATAAATGGGTAGGGGTACAAGTACCCCTTACTCATTCACAGAGAGGGGGGTAGCATCAGGGTGCTCCGTTATTTAAAAGGGTACCCGGATGCTAATGAGGGCATGTGGTCTGGTAAGCCGCAGGGAGGGGTGGGCATTCGATGGTCTCTCCCTTCCTGCCCTGCCAGGCCTGTGCTCAGATCAAAAATCTACTGGTAGACGCCTGCGTTGACTCTGGACTTAATGAAGCACAATGGACCAACACCGGTAGATGACATGGCTCCCCAAATAAACACAGACTGTGGAAACTTCACACTGGACTTCAAGCATCTTGCAGTGTGTGCCTCTCCATTCTTCCTCCATACTCTGGTTCCTTGGTTTCCAAATGAGATGCAAAAGCTGCTCTCATCAGAAAAGAGGACTTTGGACTTTGAGCAACAGACCAGGTCTGTTTTTTTTAGCCCAGGTAAGACGCTTCTGAAGTTATTTGTTGTTCAGGAGCGTCTTGACAAGAGGAATACGACATTTGAAGCCCATGTCCAGGATCCGTCTGTGTGTGGTGGCTCTTGATGCACTGACTCCAGCCTTAGTCCACTCCTTGTGAAAGTCCCCAACACTTTTGAATGGCCTTTTCCTGACAATCCTCTTCAGGCTGCGGTCATCCCTGCTGCTTGTGCACCTTTTTCTTCCACACCTTTCCCTTCCACATAACTTTCTATTAATGTGCTTTGATACAGCACTTTGGGAACATCCAACTTCTTTTGCAATTACCTTTTGAGGCTTTCCCTCCATATGGAGGGTGTCAATGATGGTTTTCTGCACAACTGTCAGGTCAGCAGTCTTTCCCATGATTGTGATTCCTACTGAACCAGACTGAGAGACCATTTAAAGGCTCAGGAACCCTTTGCAGGTGTTATGGCTTAATTAGCTGATTAGAGTGGGACACTTTGAGCCGAGAATATTGTACCTTT